TATCTATCTATCTATCTATCTATCTATCTATCTATCTATCTATCTATCTATCTATCTATCTATCTAAATTTTATTAAAGGTTTTTTTTTAAAGGAAGATTAAAAACGAATACAAAGTCAGAATAAGAAAGAAATCAAAGAGAAAGCTAAAAGTGCAGGAAAGGAAAAAAAAGTAAAAGAAAAATAGAAAAGAAAGAAAAATGGTACAAAGGAGCTTCTGATCTTCTTTACCACAGTTATAAGTACAATTATAAATTTACCTCTTACTCTGTGGTTACAACATAGCTCTCTTCTTTCTATAAGCTATCCCAGCATTTCTCAATCTTGGCAACTTGAAGATGGGTGGGCTTCAACTCCCAGAATTCCCCAACCACTGCTGGCTGGGAATTCTGGGAGTTGAAGTCCACCCATCTTCAAGTTGCCAAGGTTGACAAACACTGATCTATCCTGTCTAATCAAGAAAACCATAAGTTTGGTTTTTTTTCTGTTTCGTGCAAAAACCCCATAAGGGGTTTCCAGTCAGCGATAAACATAGATATTGCCTTTTCTCTGATCAAAGAAGTCAGTTTAGCCATCTTGGCAAGTTCCATCACCTTCACCAACCATTCTTCCGTGGTGGATGGTGCCGATACATCCATCCACCTCTTCATGGCTTTTTGGGTGGGCGCCTGCCAGGTCTTGGGGGAAAGGTGTTCCACCGGCCAGGGTCTGCTATAGAAAACACACGCTTCCTAGGTCCCTCTAGATGGCAACATTTGAGGGAAAGGACCAGGTCCATTGATACAACAGATGATTTGCCCCTTCTGTTAAGCTTTGACCCAGATGTTTGTTTCTTTTAAACAAACCATATCTAAATTTCATCGTGTAAAGTTAAGAAAGAGATTGGGCTATGCTAAGGATGATTCAGGCTGAAGACCACAGGGATCTTTGGAAGCTCTCTTGTTGACCTTAGGTCTATCTTTATTATCTTACCCAGAGTTCCTGAAGGAACAATGAGATACACAAATTTACCAAATGGGAAATCTAATGACTATAAAGTCAAGTTCAAATGCATTCCTGTCTCTCTGTGTTTCTTCTTTTCCCTAGTACACATTTCCAGCCATCAATGTCCTCAGCCTTTACAACAACAACAACAACAACAACAACAACATCAATAATAATAATAATAATAATAATAATAATAATGATAATAATAATATA